GTCGCACTTTAATTGTATAACTTATTCTGATTTGGATTTCGAAAGTGCAATCTTCCATAAGTTTGGGCGTTCGTTTTTCCTAAATTTCCACCAATGCTTACACAAGTACCAAGACTTAATGAAAGTTAGTGTATTTGCCTTTTTATCTGGGACTTCATCATCTTTTAAAGTTTTTTTTATCTCAAATCGCCATTATTTATAGAAAATTTTTATTCGAAACTAACTTTCGAAATTTTTTTATTCAAAATATTTCATGGAGATTATGTGGCTTAGCCATCCATTATCAATAAATTTTATTCACATATTTTTTCGACTTGTTAGGATTTCCAAAAAGTCCTTAGAGTAACTTTTCCTCTTGTTTTGAAGCGCTCATACTTCCTGGTTTGTTTGCAAATTAAGCAAATCAAAATATGCCTGAAATAAATCGGAGAGTTTCTTCAAGAATATAAGTTTGCATACTACTAGTAGACTATGCTTTGGCCGGTCTAAGTTTGCCTGCTATTGCTATATAAGTAAAACATTTTTTTAAGGATTAAAGCACGGTTAAAAGATATAAATGAATTCTTCTTGAAAGTTCATTTTACGATATATTCATTTTGTGTTAGTCAGATGGGGATTTTGAATTTACTATTTTTATCGAAGATATGAAGACCAAAATGGTGTGGCCCCCGTTATGGTCGAAGTCTCCTTTCGATATATAGAAGGGGATTGACCTCGTCGCAACCTAGTCTTGTCAGGGTGACTTAGTCGAACCGACCTTGTCAGAAGTACTCTGTCATAGTAGCTATCATAATTCCCAGCGTTAGAGAGTGGACTTAATACATTCTCAGACGTTACGTCGGCATCATCGTTGAGTGTTGGCATCCTCCTCACCAAGCTACGAATTCGTCAAAGAGACAAATAATATCAATCCCTCGACCAACGTTCTGTCGAAATGGTTACACTATCACTCCTCTTTCTGTCCTGGCCCATCTATCTACTCTTTACCCTCTTATACAATTCCCACCCTATTGCTGATTTCTGACTTGTTTACATTTAAAATTCGTGCCCTTTTATGACAAATGTAGCATGGCATCAGCACACCAGCTATTCACCCTATTCCCCTATCTTTCGATCGGCTAATCCGATTTGGGCCTCAGCCGGAACTTCCTCATGCTCTCGTTTATCCGTTTCTTTATCTTTCTGGTTGACTGTTTTCACTCGGTTCCAGTCCCAATGTGTGTTTTACACCAGGCGCTATTTCTCAAGGCCCTAGAGGCACGTACATTGCCGCCTCATCGAACAGAGCACCTAGGCTCTGATTCCCACGCTTGCAGATATCAGGCATTGACTTTACGGGTCGTCTTCTTGATTAGTCCATGTTATCTGAGCAAACTGTGGACGCAAATCTCTGGTCGCATTTAACACCTCAAGTGGATTTCTAGTACACTTGGGCCATAACGTCGAATTTCATGTGATGGTTAGCTTATCCGTCTGTCTAGCGCCCTGTCTGTCATGCCTCCAAAGTTGTATTGGTTTATTCGGACAGACATCACTCATTACCAACGGCTTCGCTTGATTTATGAAACTCCGCGCCCCTACTTTCCTCATCGCAATATATCCCTGATCCAGGCGTCTCCTTTTTGCTGGTATTGCCCTATTTTTGTTTTTCCCGAGTTTGCTTAAGAAGTAGGCAAAGTTATCACTAACTTCCTTCCTCCAATCTCATGTTCATTAGATTTTTTCCCCAGGATGACAATGGCCTCCCTACTCTTCCGCTTCCTTGTGTTTTTAACATATGAGGACCTTCTTTCTGATGCCCTTCAATTGACCTCGTTATCCGTCTGTGCGATGTGTTGCACCCATTATGTTCTTTCGATATCTATTTTCCTGCAGAGCCTTAGATGTTCCTTGATTCGTATTAAAATTTTTCTCCCTGTTTCGCCAATATATTTCTGCTGTAAGCGTTATGATATCACTCTTAAGTTATGTGACCTTATGAGCCCTACCATTCGGATAAGGTTAATGAGTATTTCCACCAGGCTTCTATTCAGAAACGAAGTGAGACTTATGATACGAAGAGGAATAAGCCATTTAAGTGTATAGATATTAAGTCAAAGCTCCGGCGTGATCAAACCAGGATCTTGACTCCGGAAGACTCAAAAACTCCAGGGTCTGACTTTTGGGAGCCTGGCCTGGGATAAGCAAACCGTCGCATGAAATTCGACTTTATGGCCAAAATGTACTAGAAATCCACTTGAGATGCCGCATGCGATCAGATATAGGAGTCCACAGTTTGCTCAAGTAACACGGGTTTAATCAATAAGACGACTCGTGAAGTAAATGCCTGACATATGCAAGCATGGGAATCAGAAGTGGGTTGACCTCGGTGTCGCAACTTGGGCTTGTTGTCAGGGCGACTTGGTAGAACGCACCTAGTCCGAAGTCGTCTGCCATAGTAGTTGTCATAACTCCCAGCATCATACAAACTTGGTACATTCTCAAACGTTTCGAACTAGGTGCGTTCTACTAAGTCACCCTGTCAACAAGACCAAGTTGCAACAACGAGGTGAACCCACTTTTATAAATCGAAAGAAGACTGTGACCATACCAGAGGCCACACCATCCTGGTCTTCATATCTTCATGGGGCGGCAGTATATGTGATTCTAGGGACTTAAGAAATAGCGCCTGGTGTAAAACGCACATTGGGACTGAAACCGAGTGAAAACAGTCAACCAAAAAGATAAATAAACGGATAAACGAGACCATGAGAAAGTTCCGACTATGAGGCCAAAATCGGATTAGCCGATCGTAAGATAGGGGACCAGGGTGAATAGCTGGTGTGTTGAGGTCATGCTAAATTTGTCATAAAAGGGCACGAATTTTGACGAGTGGAATGTAAACAAGTCAGAAGTTGCGATAGGGTGGGAATTGTATAAGAGGGTAACGAGTATATAGATGGACCGGGGCAGAAAGAGGAGTGATAGTGTAACCATTTCAGCAGAACGTTAATCGAGGGATTGACTTCACTTGTCTCTGACCGGTTCGTAGCTTGATGCGGAGAATGGCAGCACTCACTGATGATGCTGACTACGATGCCGGCGAAATGTCTGAGAATGTACCAAATCTATTATCTGATGCTGGGCTTTATGATAGCTAGTATGGCAGAGGAATTCGGACAAGGTGTGTTTCTACTAATTCATCCTGACAACAAGACCATGTTGCAACAACCAAGTCAACCTACTTTTACTATTTTTAAACTTGTGATTATATATCTGTACTCACCTTAATAGAGCTAAATTTGCTATCTTTGATCTTGTTTTATAGGAACCGGTACCAATGCTGCCTATCTTGAACCTATTGTCAATGTTCCGCTACTATTTCAGAAAGACATGTCCAATGGTGATATCGATTTATCTTCGGACAAGGAAGTCGTAATTAATATGGAATGGGGTGCGTTTGGTGACAATGGCGAGCTTGATATTTTTCGCAGCAATTTCGATAAAACTGTTGATGCAGCGAGTCTTCATCCGGGAAAACAGCTGTACGAATTTTTATTAATCAATGCATATCTATGGACTTTTCATTTCCTATGAAAATTAATCATAAGGAATTTGCACGTTAGCCTCACTGAAATCCTAAGGAAGGTCACCTCGTTAACACTTGTTCTTATATGTGATTATAGAATTCGCTCGTATTTAATACCCTTGGTTTATTTGACTTGCTATAATCTTGACTTTATTCCAATCTAATTTAGTTTTTTCCTTTATTAGATAAGACTACAATTAACAATTAGATTGTAAGAGTATTCCACAGTGATGATATCAAAATTAGGTTATAAGGAGTTGATAGGATTGTTGTCAGTTACTGTTCTTTACTTTGATTTTCCTTAACGTTTTCGGTCTGCTGATGTTTTTGCATGGCAGACAAAAGCCAAATTTCTGCTATAGTCATCTTTCTGGTTTCTGCGAGGCTTTCATAGTGTCTTCTCAACTTCCCATGC